CGGGACACATTCGTTTTTTCTTCGCGCGCGCACGCCGAAATCTCCAAAAACCATTGGGCTTCTTAAGAATTTTAGCACCGCGCATCATAAAATCACACGAATCGCACCGTAGGTCCTCGAAAAACACCTGCACGACTTTTCAAAATTTCCACCCGCGCGCGCTGTCCGAATCCTAAAAAAACCAATGGTTTTCCAACATTTATGTTACATGAGCTCGCGCGAGCTACTTTCGCACGCTCTTGCAACGGGGTTCGCGCGCGAATCGGGCAACCGTGGGGACAACCATCGGGACAACGATCGCGGCAACCATGGGGACAACCATCGGGACAACGATCGGGACAACCACAACCATCAGGACAACCATCGGGACAACCATCGGGACATCCATCGGGACAACGATCGGGACCACCATCGGGGCAACCATCGGGAGAACCATCGGAACAACAATCGGGACAATCATCGGGACACTCATCGCGACAATTATCGGGACAACCACAACCATCAGGACCTCCAACCAGAGAGAGGTAGTCACGTGTATTTCGTCGACGAGTGAGCCAGTATTGCACATTGAGGCCGGAACGAGAACCACAGAACAAGAATGAGCATATATCGTCTCACAACAACGGAAACAAGTCCTGTGGTATGCTGGCGCCACGCACGTGATACCAGTCAAAATAAGGGTCTTGGCTTGTGTGGTACAGAAACGTTAAAACGTCGGAAAACGGTACACGTGCCCATTGTTGGAACAGGGGTATAAGTCGTATACTAAGCTAGTTTCCACAAGATGTTACCACAAGAAGTCATTGTAACCATGCGCCAGTGTAGTAGCCAAGGTCGTCCGCAGGCCACGAAGTGAAGTGTCCGAACGTCATAGGGCGGGAAGCTGGGTGTGGGTGGTGGCGAAGAGTCGTTTGGAAACTTGGTAGAGCTTGAACCGGCCCCCCCACAAAGTGGGGGTATTGCCCGCCTCCTATGAAAACCCTGGCACTGGTGAGAACGGAGTGTCCCCAGTCTTAAATGATTGTTGTTGTTGTTGTTGTTGTTGTTGTTGTTATTGTTGTTGTTGTTGTTTGCATCTGTACATCTATATATATATATATATATATATAGAAAGACATTTAGGACATGCGATAATACGTCGGGTGTCATGTCTCCCGGCCGGTGCTATGTGCGAAACCTTCGTGAATCCTAAGGGTTCAAGCTGCCCCACTAAGGGCTCAAGATGGCCCACAGACGGACAGCATGCATGGAACACACGTGCGCGCACCCACACACACACACACACACACACACACATATATATATATATATATATATATATATATATATATATATATATATAATATTATTATTCTCATACGCACCTCTCCGAGGGAGTAGAGCTCAGAGGCGATCAGTGCGCACGCGTCCGCGATTTTTCTGGGCGTTTCGCTCGGGACATCCTCGAAATTCTGAAAATCGGTGGCACCCCTCACGCAGATCGCGACGTCAGGGTCCAAAAACACATGGGAAATTCAACATTTTAACATAAAACCTTCAAAAACACATGGTAATTTCAATAATTGTGACCCCGATTCTCAGTGAATGGCGGTTTCGCTTGAAAAATCCTTCCAAAATCGAGCCCCAGACCCCGCCTCGGAGCCTCCTGGGGGCCTCCTGGAACCTCCTGGGGCCTCCTGGGCCTTCTGAACCTTCTGGCACCCCAGACCCCGCCTCGGAGCCTCCTGGGGGTGTCCTGAAACCTCCTGGGGCCTCCTGGGGCCTCCTGCGGCCTCCTGGAGCCTCTTGGGGCCTCCTGAAGCCTCCTGGGGTCTCCTGGGGCCTCCTGAGGCCGCCTGGGGCCTCCTGGGGCCTCCTGGGGCTTCAGAACTACATGCACACAGAGACACAAATCACGCCCAACACATCACACGCTAGACAACCATAACACACACAACACCTACAACACACAAAAAGCACGCACCACACGAAACATACATCACAAACACACACACACACACACACACGCACACTCACAATCCTGGGGCCTCCTGGAGCCTCTCCTGGTATCCAAGTCGGGCCTCCTAAGGTTTCCTGGGGGCCTGGTACACACATCGCAAGGTGTGGCAACCCCACTTGCGCTCGAGTGCGACTTCGATATTGCATTTCACTCCTGCTTCAAACGCCCCTTCAGTTTGTTGTATGAGCCTGGGCACACACGTGCCACTTGTATATATAGATGCATGTACACATGTGTGTATATACATATATATAGCAGCAGCAATAGTGGATGCTGTGCTGCGCTATGCTCTGCGATGCTATGCTATGCTATACTATGCTATGCTATGCTGCGCAATGCTATGCTGGCCTAGGCTAGGCAATGCTATGCTATGCTATGCTGCGCTATGCAATGCTGCGCTATGCTATGCTATGCTATGCTATGCTATGCTATGCGTTTGCTTTGCCTTTTCTTTTGCCTTCACTTTTGCCTTTGCTTTTGCTTTTGCTTGGCACCCAGGGAGCGCAACTGGGGAAACCGCGCGTTTGCTTTTACCTTTGCTGTTGCTTTTGCTTGGCTCCCAGGGGACCGGGGGAACCGCCCGGGGCGGTTTACACTGCCCGGCCCCTTTAAGCCAAGACAGTAAGAACCCGTCTAGGCAGAGCCTAGGTAAAGAACTATGCAGCAGGTGCACGGATGCGAGGCGGCTCATCGTCACAGCGCGGCTGTGGCTGGGCAATTTTTCTTCGTGGCAGAACCCACCCTGCCAACACTCACCTTGCCGCATGCCTTGTAGTGATTGGCCAATGTTCCACCACCGCTACCATATGTGGGACGGGGGAGAAGGAGGGATGAGGAGGTCCTCCTTCTCCTCCTCCTCCTCCTCCGCCTCCGCCTCCGCCTCCGCCTCCGCCTCCGCCTCCGCCTCCGCCTCCTGCTCCTCCTCCTCCTCCTCCTCCTCCTCCTCCTCCTCCTCCTCCTCCTTCTCCCACCTACCGACCTACCTACCTACCGACCTACCTACCTGCCTGCCTGCCTACCTACCTGCCTACCTACCTGCCTGCCTACCTACCTGCCTCCCTGTCTACCTACCTCCCTGTGGTGGTGGTGGTGGTGGTGGTGGTGGTGGTGGTGGTGGTGGAGAGTGGGCCCCGCATGCAGCTCGACGGCTGGAGGGCCACCTCCCTTCACCGCGGAGGGCCCCCGCCCGCGCCCGCGGGCCCGCGGGGCGCTCGCCTCTCGAAATGGCGAGGGGGGGCCGCCGTAGGTCGGCACCGTTGAACCGATCCCCATGCCAAGAAACCCTGCTTGCCTCCAGGGTGCCCCTGGGTGTCTTGGGTTTCGATGGTGTTGCTACGGGAAGCGTGACGTTCCCACACCAGCAATCAATGGATGTCCTGGGGTCTCAGGGTTGGGTTTCTTGTGGAAGGTCTCCTGTGGTCGAGCTCCTCCTGTATCCTCAGTATCGTTGAACCGACCCTCATCCCCATTCCCATCTCCCTCGAGACCCCCACCAAGTTACCACCCCAGTTGGGGATACACACCCCTCGAAACCCGAAGGGATCGACCTACATCCCCATCCAGGGGGGTGAGTCGACCAGTGGTGCCCAGGCCACGCCGCTGGGGATGGGGATCGGTTAAGCGATACTCATGTAAGTGCGCTGGCTACCGCAGCTCGCGGAACTCGGTGCGGACTCCTGGGAAATTCCGTTCCGTGCCAAGGGCTCTCAGAGGTTCCGAGATCGGTCGCAAATCATGGGAGTTTGGTCTTTGGCGTCGATTGGCGTCTTCAGCGTCGATTCCGTCGATTGGCGTTTGGAGTCGATCAGATAGCGCCGATTTAGCGTCTGCTAGTGCCGATAAGCGTCGACTAGCGTCGATTTAGCGTCGACTCGCAAGAGCGGACAAGATGGTATAGGAGGCTCCCATGAGTTGCCACTGTCAGAGGTCCTGTGCACTAGGCGAAACCAGCTTGCGGCGATCGACAGGATCAGCCGTGTGTTCGATCCCCGCCGGCGAGGCTCCATCGGGGAGGCGGGCTAAAAGGTTCCTGCTTTGCCCGTTTCTGCCTCCCGATCGGCCTGGGGCCATGGGAGGGGAGGGGAACACAGGGGGCAAATGTTTCACCGCGTCCCTCTCCCGGAGGCCCCGCCTCGACGTGAGCTGCCCCTCCCCGTGGCGCGACGGCCCCGATGGCCGAGCGCGCCAGGCGCCCACCCTCCCGAGGCCTCCGGCGGGCCTCTAGGGAAGCCGCCCGCAGAGGCCGCTGGAGGGCCGCCGGAGGCGAGCCTCCCTCCGGAAAGCCTGCGGGGGGCTCCGGAGGCCGCCGGAGGGCTCCAGAGGCCTCCTCCTCCTCCTCCGTCCTCCGTCCTCCTCCGTCCTCCTCCGTCCTCCTCCTCCTCCTCCTCCTCCTCCTCCTCCTCCTCCTCCTCCTCCTCCTCCGTCCTCCTCCGTCCTCCCGGAGCGGCCCCCCGAGGCCTCCCTGGCAGGCCCCGGGGGGGCCTTCCCTGGGGAGCGGCCTGGCCCGGGGCGCCCCCGCCCTTCTCTCCAGGCTTCTCGCGCGCGCTCCGCCGCCTCGGGCACTCTCACGCTCCGTGGGGGTGTGTTCGCGTGCTCGCCCTGCGGCTCGCTCGCCGCTCCCCCACCAGCTCGGGAGGGGAAAAAACACACAGACACGATTCATCGTCGCTTCCCCAGGAAATGTGGGAGAATCTGGGAAGTGGGGGGGGAGACAAAAGCCCAGAAAATATGGGAAGATGTAGGGTGTGGGAGAATCTGGGAAGTGGGGGGGGGAAACAAAAGCCCAGAAAATATGGGAAGATGTAGGGAATCCTGTTATTTGTGTGTATTTATTTGTGTGTCCCAGGGCCCCTTCACCATCGTGTGCCTTCCTTCGCTGCTCCCGTGCCCTTCCCCGCGGCAATGTTGCTCCAGGCTTCTTTAGCCTACAGGTCCCGTCATAGCTGCTGGAGCCTGCAGGAAGGTGCTGCCGTTCCTTTGACGTCGCCAAGGGTTCGGAGCGATGGCGGACCGCAAAGCAGTCATCAAGAACGCCGACATGGCCGAGGACATGCAGCAGGACGCGATCGACTGCGCGACGCAGGCGCTGGAGAAATACAACATCGAGAAGGACATCGCAGCGTTCATCAAGAAAGAGTTCGACAAGAAGTACAACCCGACTTGGCACGCCATCGTGGGCCGTAATTTTGGCTCGTACGTGACGCACGAGACGAAACACTTCATCTATTTTTACTTGGGCCAGGTCACTCCTCCCTGATCCGTTCTTCCTTCGCAGCACATTGGAATAAGAAAATTGCAAATTGGATAGCATGATTGCAAAGAATAAGAAAAGAAAATTGGATTTTTATTTTATTTTTAATCATTTTATTTAGATCCAGCAATTTTTACTTGGGCCAGGTCACTCCTCGAGCCTAGTTCCTTTCCCCTCCCTTCGCCCTTTCTTCTCCACCCCCTCATCTCCTCCCTGATCCGTTCTCCCTTTTTTTTTTTTTTTTTTTTTTTTTTTGTTTTTTTTTTTTCGGCTCGATGTCCTGTCGGACGCAGCCGTCCGCTCCGTTCTCCCTTGCTCCTCCGTCGCTTCCTGATGCTCGTCCTTAGGTGTCCTTCTTTTCCTTCTCCCCCTCATCCTCCTTTTCCTTTTCATGCCCCCTTGCCTCCTCTCACGTCTCATAGTGTTCCTCTCTTCGCCCTGGGGCTCGGGGCGTTCGTCGTTGACGTCTGCCGTGATCTGCCACAACGGCCTAATTGGCTAGGTGCTGTCTCCCACCCTGCGCTGCAGACGCACTCGTACCCTTTCTCTCAGTTGGGCCCAGCTGCGGGGCGGCTGGAATGCACTGCCTTCCGGACTGATTCCCTCGTGGCGCAACGTGTTTGGGCCGAGTTCGGCCTTCCGTCTCCCTTTGCAGCGGATCATAGGGAGCATGACTGTCTACGTTACGCGTGCCCATGCTTTCGAAGAGACACTCATCCTGACATCTGTCTCGCCCGCCATGCCGAAGCGCAGGCTGCGCGCCGCCTCGTTTTAGAAGAAGTCTGGAGCGTGAGGCTGCCCGTAGGGCCGAGGTTGCGTGCTCCAGGCTCTGCCTCTCGACGTGGCTCGCGACCGCTCGAGGTCGTCCAAGGTATTCGATAGGAGGCGAGGGCTCCAACAAGAGCTTGGTGTGCGCGGCGCTGTGGGCGTACGACCGGGCTGAGAAGGCGGGCTGCCAGGTCCCGACTGTCTGCCCGCGCTGTGGCCGGCCAGGTCGACGTGGTGTACCGTCGTCTGCGGCTCTGCCCCTGCGTCTCTCTTCCATCTGTGGAGAGGTGGTCAAAACAGATTTCCTGAGGTGAGCCGCTGACGTGGATACGTCTGACTTTCTGGATGTGATGTTTTTGTTGCAGACGGATTTGTTTCCGCATCCTGCAGATATGTTTATGTTCCCCCGCCCTGCATCGAAAGACGGCCTGGTCCAGGCCCAGATGTTTTGGGACGAGCCCCCCTTTCCGGTAGCACATTTGCCGGACACGCCAATGTAGTTAGTCAGGGCTCTAGCCCGTGCAGTGCTCAGCTTAGATATAAAAGGCCCTTTGTTGGGCTGGTGATGATGTTCGGGTTCGGGCGGAGGTTGGTGGATTCGGCCGTGAAGACCAAAGTTCACTTTGATTTGTGGAGGCGGGTATGTCAGACAGCGATCGCTGGCTGAGGGTGGGCAATGACGAGGATGACAAGGCCGCCAATTTGGGGACGTCCTTGCACCCGCAGGCGTCAGATCAAGATAAGGAGGTGCACACTCGGCAGATGAGAGTGTCTCAGGCGGTCTGTGCTCTGGTCAACGTGCTCCCGTTGTGGCCCCGTCTGGACCTCTCCGAGTGCCCCTGTGCTGCTTTTCCTCAGGCCCCTGTCTGTGGCTCCAAAGGGTCCCCCACATGCCTGGTTGTACGTTCAGATCAGTTTACGTTCTGTTTTTTGGCGCTGTCAGCCCTTGTTTGGCGGCGCGTGAGGGAAGCGAGTTTGATGAATATCCTGCCCTTGGGGTCTGCCCTGACGTTTCGAAGCTGGACGGCCCCTCTCTCAGGGCTCTGAATCACGAGGCAGTGTCGCGTTTGGTTTCGGATCATTGCAGCTCGCTTGAAGTGTCATTATTATGCCACCCTTGGCCACGTTCGAGGCTTGTCCCAAGAGTGTGGCAAGCCTACGCCTGAGCACACCTGGTGCCTTTATCAGATCTGCAAGGGACGTCACCCAACGAAGAATGACGTGACGGTCGAGCCCGTCCCGTGGCGCTAATCACCTCAGCCTCGCATTTCATGTGAACAAATCCCGTGTCCCCTCCCCCCTCCCTCCTGCATCCTCCTCCACTTCTTCCGCCTCCTCCTCCTCCTCCTCCTCCTCCTCCTCCTCCTCCTCCTCCTCCTCCCCCTCCTCTTTTTCACAACGGGCCCCCAGACTTGTCCTGGTGTGCGCTGCAGAATGTCGAGGCGGATCCAGATTCGGCCATGAGGGAAGCCATGCAGACAAAGGGGGGTGGTCCAGGGGCGAGTTCGTTCCTCAATCCTGGATCCCATTCCTCTTCGATCCTTCTCCTCTTTCGTCCGTCTCCCCCCTTTCCCGCCCTCTCCTGGGAAGGGATCTGGCCCAGGGTTCTGTTCGAGTGGGCGGGCCTTTGGCCCGAGATCGGGGTGGGGGCGTTGAGCCCGTGGCGTCGGATTCTGCACGCGAGAGTGCATGTGCGAATGCGGTTGTCCAACGAACGTCTGGCTCGTGCGCGTGTGGGACGTGTTTTCACGTGTGCAACCGCTAGGGGACCGCATGCGAACCCTACCCGTACCCCCCACGATTCCTGAGGGGGAGGGTGGGGTTCACTTCGCTTGGGAGCTCCCGAGCGAAGTTTACCCCACTTTCCTCCTCAGAAATCGTGGGGGGTGGGGGTAGGCTTCGCGTGTGGCCCCCTCACCGCGACAAGGGCGGTATCCAGCCCGTGGTCGACGGACTCTTCGCAGGTGAAGATGTGTGCGCGGCGGGGGGGTTCCGAGACGTGTCTGGCGCGTGCGTGTGTTGGGATTTCTTCGCGCCTGCAGGCGCCAGCGGGGGGGGGTCCAGCATCAACACGCGGCGTCTGGGATCCGTGAGCGCTGGGGTGCGTGTGTCTTTGCGCGTGCAGGCGCGGGTGGGGGCAGGCCTGAAATCCCTGCAAGGGCTCCAGCCCAGGATTCTTTTTTGTGTATGTTTGATTATTTGTTGGGCATGCTTGATTATTTTGGGGGCATTTGTGAGTATTGTTTGGGGCATTTTTGGGGCAGGCGTTTAATCCCTGTAACAGGCGTTCAATCCCTATAAGGTTAAGTCGGGCCTGTCCCTCTACAGGAGGAATATTCAAAAATAGTCCAAACATAGTCTGGGGACGACTTTTTGAATATGTTTGACCATCTTTGAGTATTTATGAAAATGATTAATTTGTCCCCGAAAATCCCCCTGTAGGGGGACGGGCCCGACTTCAGTGCAGGCGCGGGTGGGGGCAGGCATCAAATCCCTGCAAGGGCTCCAGCCCAGGATTCTTTTCTTGGGCGGGCGGGTCTTTGGCCCTTGACCAGAGGGGTGTCGAGCAGGTGGCGCCGGACTCTCCCCGCGCAGGAATGCATGCGCGGAGGGGGGGGGATCCAACATACTTCTTGTGGGTTCGGATTTGGGACGTGCTTTCACGTGTGCAGTCGCGAAGCGGGGTATCCAACATGTGGTCGGCGGATTCTTCGCACGTGAACAGACGTGCGCGGAGTTGGAGTCTCCAACATGCGTCTGGCGCGTGCGCATTTGCGCGCGGCCGCCTTACATGGCGTAGCACAGCATGCTTCCCAGCATCGCACAGCATGGTATTGAGTAGCATACCGCA